AGTTAAGACTGTGAGAATCAGGCAAAAGTCGCTTTTGATTATTCCTTCAGATTACCTGTGCAGGTTTGAACCATTCAGATGTTGAGTCCAAATATCGAGACTACAGATAATTAAACATATCTTAATTAAACACAGTCTTATCTTTTGCTCAGCATGAAACTGGAGATAAACAAACCACCAGGGACCTGCTGTGATAGCTTGATAACCTGGTCGTTTCAGTGATGAATCAGCACAGTTGAGTTTTTAAACTTCTCCATCTACTGACTCAAATCCAGAGTATTTCCAAATAAGGCTCAGTTAGTATATTTGTCTCTCTCGTGTTGTGAACTCTCTGTCGTCATTACCACTCAGTTGTTGAATTATTCCAGGCCAAAACTCACAGCCCCACTGGGGCGAGGCACCTTGAGGAGACTGTTGTTGTGATTTGGCGTTATACAAATAAAATTGAGCTGAATAACTTCAGGTGATATAACACAGTTTTGCATTCTGAGCTACTTTTCATTTTTTTAAAAAATGTGTCTAATTTGATTTAGATTGTTTGCCATTAACTCCACTTTAGGCTGACAGCAAAGAATGTCAATAGTGTTCCCTTTAAGCAGTCAGAGCAGATCCAAAATTATTGCAACTTTAAGTAATAAACTTTGGATCTCGATGCCTTTGAAATGGTTGCTTCAAAGACGAGGACCAGGTTTGCACACACTCAGTCAATTGCTGTCGTCAGATTGATTACAGTGTGTTGGCAAGCTGCAAGTCTGCATTTATGAATTAGACGGCAATAATTTGCTTGCACACTCCAATCTGTCTGTGTGGGGTCGCAGTCAGTCCAAGTTGGGCCACAGTTTTTGTAGCCATGTGCTTTCTGCACCCAGGCAAACCTTGTGATTGAAAATGATCACCCTGAGGTTGAGGACATGTGCAACCATGACAACCACCTAGTCACACGCTCTTCTATTTTGACTCTAGTGTGACTGAGCCATAATGTAAGGATGGCAGCTAATGACCTGACAGAAAGGGAAGTATCTTATTCAAGTCCACGTCCTCAAATTTAAAGTTTCCTGTTCAATTATGCTGGTTCTTCTTAGTTTTTATGAGTTGACACAAATTCTTTTTCCTATTCAAACTAAAACATTCAAACTTTTTATTTTTCTAGTGCATATATAGATTGCTTGCTTACTGTGATCTTAACACTCCCAGAAATTTTCCAAATTCCAGAATTTCTTCCCACCTCTGGCCATTTGGTTTCAAACTACAAACAATTCACAGCAGAGATTTCTATAAAATGATGAGTATGTCTTTATGGAATGTAACCACTAACTGTCCATTGCTGGCCTATGACCCCTAACCTTATGTCACACTATCTTCCCATTGGTCCATGTGTCTTTGTGTTGACCTCTGAGGGCAGCTCTAGGACCACCAAGAAAGGAGGGGGAGGAGGAAACTGAGCAGAGAGAGTTCAGAGTTGGAGGGAGTATAGATGGACAATAACAGACTGGTGACATCTGAAACTTTTCCTTTTACTTGTATAGTGTAAATGAAATTCTGAATTCCCCACCCGCTAACAATAACTCACTAACAAGTACTTTATGTAAGGTTTGTTCATATAGTGCTTTTTAAGAGCCAGAAAGTGCTTTACCATATAAAATGAGATGCAACAAATTGTATAAATGGATAAAACGAAACAAACGCAATCGTGCACAGGTGGATCTTAAACTTGTTTTTAAAGATAGCAAGGTAGTTCACGGATTTCAAATCCAAGGAAAGCCAATTCTACACAAACAGATATCAAACATTTCTTCAGAACAATAGTTCAGTGTTTAATTTTAAACATTATGCTACCTTGGATACCTTGGATGCACTATAAAATGCATACCAGTAAACAGATCATCATTGATCATCAAGAACAAAATGGACTTCCTTTTTCCAAATGCACTCAATATTATTGTTTTTTTGTAGTTTTGTGAAAGCTGAATCATTGTAGGCTAAAC